AACTAAAGTCAAATGAATAACAGTAATGAAATGATTTATCTACTAGTAAGGCTCGATTACAATTCAACACCAATCGTTTCATCATCTTCATCCAAAACTAGATGTACCACGTATACCGTACCCTATTGATGCCAGCCAACATGATAACATCAATCACTTACTCACCAGATTCAATTGTGAATGACGAACTAAAATTACAGTACTTGAATAAATTCATCGTACTTACCGAAATGGAGTGTTTATTTTAGATTTTTTTTAGAGGGGGGTGGGGGGCTTACTAGAGGGGGGCTTAATAGAGGATTACGGTAAGAGCGCAGTGAAAATATGTACTTGTACGTAAAACCTATTTTAATCGTTTTAATATGCTTTTAATACTAGTGTAGTTTGTGTGGCTAAACTTTGTTTAAATGGTACATATGACCATCCAAAATTCGACCCAATCAGAGTTTTGTAAATTTCATCAGAAACAGTCGATTCAAGAACACATGAAGAAAACTAATTATTACTCAAGTAACCAAGAAAATGTCGTGATCACCATGTAGCAACTTTTTATGTTTAGTTTGACTTTGTACGGTTCAGATTTCAGCATTTTTTTTCTTCTACACGTCCTTCAAACGAAATTGTCTCTATGCTAGTGACAACCGTTCTCTCACTACGACTTTTATCTATTGTATTCCTCCCCGGTTCATCAATTTTAATAAAAATGTCCAAGAAACCTTTGTCTATTCTACGTGTCACCTTGAAAATTTAATTCACGAGATGTAATTTTCTTTATAAATACAAGAATAAAATAATTTCACGTTATTAGAGTGCTTAAATCAAGGAGGCACCCTTTGAAATTGTTTCATAAAATTAGACAGGATTGGCCAGAGGAAACTATCCTCAACGCATTTCGCTAGAGTTTCTGGGCATGACCCGTATGGTCCAGCCACTGCACATTGGAGATTGTCGTCTTAAAATCTTTCCTTGTAGTCATCTCTTCTTAGTCTAAAGGTTCAGCTCTTCTTTGGTTCTCTCTCTCATAACAAACTTCTTAACCTAAGAAAAACACGAAAATGCTTGATTTACATATTTGCCTGGGTAACAATTCCTAGTTACACCGCTGCCAACCCTTTGAAAGAATAAACAACCTTTATAGCTAAGAGAGAAACGGAATTCGAGTGACTCCTTGTTAGGGTAACTGATACCAAGTTACCGAGTGTTTCCCGAGTGTTTACTGCCAATTCCTTGGAAGAGCGAATAAGCTCTTACCCTCGGAAAGGCGCGAAATTTGAGCGACTTATTAACTGGAGTTACAATTTCTTCGTTACAGTATGTTTTACCACCACTTGTTACAACTCCCTATTATTAACAAATGGTAAACACAACAGCGTACACTATTGCGTTAAGGATGCAGGCGGGAGGTTGCTAAGCACGAAAGAAGCGTAAGAGTCGCTCGAGGCGATAGCCGAGAGCGACTCTAGCTTCTTGAGTGCTTAGCAAACCTCCCAAGTGCATCCATAACTCAATAGTGTACGCTGTGGTGTTTACCATTTGTTTTATAACATAACATTGATACATGGTAGCTAAAGAGTTTCCTTTTATTTAACAAATCTTACGCGACCAGAAAAAAACAAGCGCGCGCGGAAAAATAGTCTTTGCATTTGCTCACGTCAGCAGCGTACACCCATGGGCAAATGGAGGACGCTGAATTGACCAATCAGAGCGCCCGCTTTACTTTGGTTATGTTATAAAACTGGTACCAACAGTACAGGAGAAGGAAAAGAGGGGTTAACTCCTTTCTAAGCCTTCATCCTTTTGTTTACCCAGCCCCTGCACCAACTGTTTGCTAATTCATTAACAATTGCTCTTTTAAGAAGCACACTTAACAGACAGGGTCTGCCAAATTAAAAACTTTCTAACAGAGGTGTGTCTTATCCAGTTCGGTCCTCAATCATGATATGTTTCTATTCTAAGTCTTAAATTCTCTGAATCATTTTATGTATTCCCGTTTCTATTCCTTGTGCTCTTACCTTTCCCGTTACAGTGAGAGGAAATTCATCAGCGAACTTGATATAGCGAGGAATCTTAAAGTGAGAGATCTGAAAAAGGGAACGAGATATTTAAAACGAAACATTACTTATTTCACGATGAAGGCATTTCCGATGTGGATTGCAACGTTGCGACTGCATCCTACGAGTCTTCCTCAAGCGATGAGGCCGTCGGACTGTATTAATGTCATCTTCGCAACTATTATACTCAGCTGTGATTGGCTTGTATCAAGCTGTGAAAGGCGCAATTCGAAGAATTGTGAAGAAAAAGACAGCATGGCAAGTTTTCTGTCGTTGATTTCATTAAGAACGAACGTCGAAGCAGTCCATAAACCTACCTGGCCTTTACAAAATTCTTTTATTTCTTCTGGTGTGGCTGTTTCACCTGCGTGCAACCTGAGAAAGTTCATTTTTCGTTCAGAGGCGACTCAAAACACCAAGAGGTACTTGATACAGTGAAACCTCGATTTAACGAACCTCTATGTATCGAAGTCCTCGGTATAACGAACGATACTTCAGTTTCAGCCCGGCTAAAGTTACAGAACCTCGAAGTAACGAACCAATTTGCCCAGTCCCTTGGCACATCGTCAAATCGAGGTTCCACTGTATCGTGACGTCAATGTTACCCGGGCAGTACAATAAAAGACCGCTTTTGATCACCAGTGGCCGGTCAGAGTCGAAATGGCACGTAATCATGAATCATCCAATCAAGGGACAGGGTTGACCTGAATTCTTAAGAACACCTTGAGCATCAAAATTCTCTTGGCTGATTGGTCGATTCATGATCACAAGCCAGACATCTCGCTTTCTCATAGTGAACATCAGGCATTTCTTGAGAGAAGAACGTCTCTAAAGTACTTTCGTAAGCAAAAATGCTTCCAGGAAGAAATTAAGAAAAAAAAAATACTTACTTGATCCATGCACAGACTTCTTCTCCCAATCGAGGGTCCGGAACACCGATCACCTTAACGAAGGCCAAAAAAAGGAAAGGCCAAAAAAGGAAAGGCCAAAAAAGGAAAGGCCAAAAAAGGAAGGCCAAAAATGAAACAAAACTAACTTAGTCAAACTGACAGTATGTAGTCTTGCGTTTAGCGCGCTGCATTCTGGATTTAGAAGTCTGGGATCGAGACCCACCGGGTTATCGAGTAATGTTCTCGGTGGGTACGACACTTTACTCTCACAGTGTCTCTTTTCACGGAGGAGTGGAGAGGGGTACCTGACGAAACGCGAGAAGTAACCTCTGATGTACTAGCATCCCATCCAGGGAAAGTACATTTTGTCGTAGTCGCTTCATGCAGCACTGAAAGATCAGAGGTGTAGGAAGCGATAGTTAAGAGCAATTTGGGCTCAAATTAACTAAGATTAATCCCTTCCACCTAGAACTCCAACCGACGCTGTGCTGAATGAGTTAGAATGCCAGGCGAAAGCCACTCATCAAATTTCCAGCGATAAGTATTGACTACAAAAAGGTCAAGATCAGAAAGACCAAAAAAGGTACTTTACCTGAACATCCTGTATTTTAGGATGTGTGTACAAAAATTGTTCCACTTCTGTTGGATAAATATTTTCCCCTCCACGGATAATAAGATCCTTTCAAAAAGCGAAGAATCAAAATTATAGAAGGAACTTGTCGTGGAAATAAGCGGTGGGTGATGTAGTGCACTTGAAAATAAACATTGTTTCGCCAGTTGTTTATAAAGCTATGAGAAAAAATACCTTTATTCTTCCAATGACCTTTATGTATCCATTCTCATCCATTGTGGCCAAATCCCTTTTTAAACCGGTGAATAGTGTCACCAACAGAGTCGGGTTCGAAAAAAGTAAAAGTAAATTAACAAACGTACAAGTCTACATTTTCGAAGAAAATACTATGAGGTACTTACCCACTGTGGAACCAACCGCTGGGGTCAATGCAGGCGTCAGTCTTTTCCTTGTCATCCCAGTATCCCAGCATGACATTGTAACCTCGAAAGCAAATCTCCCCTGCGGAGTTGACAGGTACCACACGGTCATCACTGTCCACGATTTTCACCTGCAACAGGTGTATATTAATTGGCAAAATATTAAGGTGTATGTGACAGTTTGAGGTTCGCAAAAGAGGAGATCTCACCATGTTACATACTGTATTACCAAACACCTACCTCATTATTTGGATGAACGCGTCCAATCGTAGAAACTCGCAAATCTATCGGGTCATCCATTAGTGTCTGTGTGGTGACAGGGCTTGTTTCAGTTAAACCATAGCAGATCTAAGACCAAAAGAAGTTACTGGACATCACTGCATGACTATGTGTTTGACTGCTTGACTGACAAAATGACTGACTAATAACCTGATGGACTTACTGTCCGTGTAAATGTCCGGTTGACTGCCTGACGACTTACTTTGTGTCTATGTATCCGTCTCACAGGTTCACTGACTGGTCGACTGTGTGGCTAACTGGCTGACTGACAGATTAACTGATAGGTTGACTGATAAACTGTCAATCTGTCTGAGTGACTTTCTGGCTCACTGTCTGTCAGTCGGTTTGAGAAATAGACTGACTGATAATTTGAGTTTTATCAACTGAGTTGATAAAACCAAATTACCTTGTTACTCCCACTGACGCAGCACCACAGTTTCTCTAGAAACTTACCCCCCCCCCAATCTTTATTCATTTGATTGAATAAATGGCCGTCCGTCTGTTCAAATAAAAAGAACATTTGGATTTCCCAAGTGAGTTTATAATGTTAATTGGCCACCGTAAACAGTTTCTAACCTGGCGTTTCGAGCGTTAGCCCTTCGTCAGAGCGAATGACGAAGGGCTAACGCTCGGAACGTCAGGTTAGAAACTCTTTACGATGGCCAATTAACATTATAAACTCACTTGATAAAACCAAATTATCTTGTTATACTTCCCCACCGACGCAGCACAACAGTTTCTTTAGAAACTTACGCCCTTTTTCCAAGTGAAAGACTGACATATTAACGGACTGGCTGATGACTGCATGAAAGACGACTTGATGGACAACTGACTCCGTCACCGACTGGCTGAGTGATAGCAGCACAATTGACTGACCGGGATTACTCACTGACTAACTGTTTCCTAACTGAACGACGATATGCCTGACTGACAGGATAGCTGGTTCACTGGGGGACCAATCGAGTCTAACTGGCTGCTTTGTATCTTTTGTTTGAACACGCTATTTACCGTAACTTGTGGCATGTGAAGCTTCGTTATAATTTGTTTCATAACCTCAATAGGACACGGTGAGCCAGCCATAATACCTAAGATTACAAAATCCACGCTGTAAAGTCCAATACTGACAAAATAAAGTCTTGAATTCATAAATTAGAAGCATTCACCGTATTAAAGCTTCTAATCACCACTTTTTTACCAGTGCGAAGACTGCTAACATCAAACTTTTCCAACGCCGGGTGATTCAGGACATCAATAAACATCGTAGGCGTACCGTAAAGAGAATTACACCTGCAAAAAAAAAAACAAAAAAAAAACAAATAAATAACGAACAAACCATATAGTTTCGATGTGTGAAACCCGAAGGCTAAGAGCTTAAAACAGTAGAATTCGGATGGGAGATGCCCGATCTTTGACTGGGTCATTGTTGTATTCTTCGACTTCACCCAGGAGTACTGATGGGTATCGGAAAACTGCCAAGGAAACCTGATTTTTGGCAGAGCACAGAAGCACGTTAATTCTAAGAATACAAAAATAGTGAACAAACTGGTTTCCCCTCCCCGCCCCCTACTCCAAAAAAAAAAAAAATAAATAAAAAAAAAATTAAAAGAAAAATAAGGTTTCACAAATCAATGTATGAAGCGAATCTGATACAAAGCTTACTTTTCCTGTTGAATGGCTGTCAGAACGGCGCCAGCGTCAAACCCTCGAGATGGATAAACTGAGGTGGTTCCGTATGTAGCACTCATTAAACTGAAAAGCAATGTTAGAAGATGGTAATCTCTTTTTCTATTTGTCAATCTCTGGCAAATTTACACAGTTAAAAATTTAAGGTGTTTTTAAAATAGGCGTTTTCTTTCGTCAAAAGCAGTTCGAGTAAGTTAGTTAAGTTAAAATGATCCTTTTCCATTGAAGAAGCAATGATTCGATACTTTTCGCTTTGTGGTTTTTCCGAAACACGAAGTTATCGTCAACTCAGAGAAGATCACAAAATATATCCATAAGATGGTGAAAAAGCACGAAGGAGGTGGGATTAATCAAAGTACGAAAGGCGACGGTCGAGGGTGCAAAAGACCAAAACAGCTTATGAATGACAACCTGGAAATTTTTCAGATCATCTTTTCCAGATAACCGAACCGTGATAACTTCGATCTATAACTTGCGTTGCGTTGAAATCTTGTTGCTTTATGCTTTCCGCATTCCGACCACATTTATTAAAGCAGGTGCTGGTAAGCTCTCTTCGTAAGAAATGAAGGAGGGTCGAAAACTTGAATATTGATTGATTGATTGATTGATTGATTGATTGATATTTAGCACACTTGGAGACAATTTCCGAGAGCTCAGGAGTTTCTTTAGAATTTCAAAAGGAGGCAGCAGGAGTACATCAACTCACCTTCCGAGCACCATCCCAAAGCAGTGGTAAAGTGGAACAGGAATACATATTCTGGAGTACTTAACAAAACAAAATACATTTGTATGCAGTGAGAGTTTTGGCCCTGAGAATGATTTTAGTTTCTTTTCATACGCTATCGAGCAAAAAAAGGAAAAATCTCATACCTGATTCTCATATTCCAAAACTTCTCCCACATAATACGAATTGTTGAGGATGCTGTGGTGAGAGAGTATAGCTCCTTTTGGGTTACCAGTTGTACCCTGTCAATTAACCAACAGATAGAACATTATCCACTATCAAAAAATAAGAAAAAATAAAGAAACCTTCCCGTCTTGCTTTTGCTTTCTTTGAGCAAAACTTACTGAAGTAAACTGGATGTTGATTGGATCATCACATTGAAGTTCATTTTGTAACTCAACCAACTTTCTTCTCTCTTCTGTCCCTCCACTCTCCATCAACTCTTGAAATGACATTGTACCACTGAAACGACAATCCAATCACGATAAAGTTGACAAGTATTGGTCTTTCCTTGCTGTACTGATACAAACTAAAGTATCTTTTACCTGAAAGTTCGTTGATGGTCTTTACAAGCCATTACGACTAGCTTGAGATCAGGAACTCTGTGAAGGAAATAAAAAATGACATTGTTATTGGCAAAATGTTTGTTAATTTTTACACAACCCATGGCTAACTGACACAATACCACATAATGTTGAGGTATTGATTAATACTCTGTATCCCTTCCACCATTGCCCAGTACTAAACAAGTAGGAGCAATAGACCACTTTCATAAATGAATAAAGGCTGATAGTTTCTAAAGAAACTGTTTGGGGCTGCGTCAGTGGGGGTAACGAAATAATTTGAATATATCAACAAAGTTGGAATGGTAAATTGGCCACTGTTATGATTATAAAAGCTGACGTTTCGAGCTTTAGCCCTTCGTCAGAGCGAATAGGGATATTGTGGGTTGTGTGTGCTTTTAAAAGCAGAAAAAGGTGCTACGTGATTGGTGGGAAAAAATGGCTATACTCTCATAAATGGCTGCCAGATTAATATTCTTTTGTTTAAATTTAAATTAGCCCTTCTGGCCTCGTTCTCCAGTACAAAATTCAAAAGAATACATTATCTCAAGTGAGGCCAGAAGGGGTAATTTAAATTTAAACAAAAGATTATTAATAGGGCAGCCATTTATCAAAGTGGTCTATACCATATCTCTTCCTGCATTCTAGCACTGTTCTATAATATTAAAAATTTTAATATTAAATATTATTAATATTATAAAAACACAATTAAGTTCACTAATTTCCACAATTTTCCATGACCTGCACTCAATTTTCATACCTTTCTAGACCTAGAACATTCAAAAACAATATTAAAGAATTCCAAGTCTTTTCATGTTTGTCACAGATCATGTGAAGCCTGACAAAGTTATGTCAGTTGAATACTTACAAACTGTCCTGTCTATCTTTACCATAAGATGCAAAAACTTGACTGACTGACTAACAATCTACAGCAACTGAAACTCAAACTTTGAGAACATAAATTTTGTTAAATATTATCACAGAAATGTAAATAGTTAATACATGGTTCGTACAACTTCAGACAAACAAAATTCAAGGACTTTTCAAGGACAAAAGATGGTTTTGAAGGACTAAGTTTTATTCATGAATACACATTTGCCCATCGCTCAATTAAATTGAAAACAAAGGGAAATGAAAAATTCATCGACCAAACCATAGCCAAACCACCACATGTTTACGTTGCTCCTTAAAACAAAAGCCCATAGTGGACTACCCCACATCGGAGGCTTGTGCATGAAATTGAGGCACAGATCCAACATTGCTTCATGTACCACTCACGTTTTACACCGACCATTTTCCCTTTTTGGTAGTTACTAGTGGACAAATTTTCCATAGCAAAAGCGTTTAATTTATCAGAAAAGCTATAAGGTGCACAGAAGCTGCTAAATTTCAAGGACTTTTCATGACCTACTAAAGAAATCAAGTACTTTTCAAGGACTTAACCAAATTTAAGGACTTTTCAAGATGACCGTTAAAATTCAAGACCTTTTCAAGATTGTATGAACCATGTTAATAGTAAACTCTGAATCTCTTGACTAACTTGAAGTAGGGTCTCCCTAGTAAGCTTAACTTCACAAGCACAAGCGACATCTACTGAAACGTTATTTGATTTTTAAATGTTATTTGATTTTTAAATAACTTAATTCACAACAACACTGTTCAATTTTAATGCACTATATAAGAACTTATTATTAAATTATTTATTTTGCTGGTAAAATCATAGATTATGTTCTTCAAAATGTCTTATTAAATAAATCAACTATTTACCTATTGTTGAAGAGATTGCCTGGTTTTGACTGTGGTAGTTCATGTACAATGTGCGTCAACATGTTGTAGTAATCTTGAGTTTTAAAGCTGTCAGCCATAATGATCGCTTTACAGCCAACCTAAGATTTAACAGATACTTCTGTTAAAATTAACAAAAAGAATCCATGTTGTCATGTGTCTGTTCAGTGACAGATCAGAGTTGACGACAAAATGCGGTAAGAACAAACACAGGGCACACTTAACAAATGGTAAATACCACAGCATACACTATTGAGTTATGGACGTATGTGGGATTGCTAAGCACGAAAGAAGCATATTAAGAGTTGTGTGGGGTGATAGCCTAGACTCTAGCTTTTTGAATGCTTAGCAACCTCCCAAGTACATCCATAACTCAATAGTGTGTGCTGTGGCATTTACCATTTGTTTTATAACATAGCATTGATACATTGCGGCAAAAGAGTTTTCTTTTATTTAACAAATCTTAAGTGACCACAACAAACAAGCATGGGCGGAAAACTAGTCCTTGCATTTTGCTCACGTCAGCAGCATACACCCATTGGCAAATGGTGGTCACTGAGTTGACCAATCAGAGTGTGCGCTTTACTTTGGTTACATTATAAAAGGCTCTGCTGAGTGTGTCACTGACGTTCTTACTACAATTTGACATTTTCTGTGATGTGTCCCTCCCGCTTCTTGTACTGTTAATTCAAGAGTGTTGCATTGCTATGTGAATTGACAGGTTGGCTTGTTACTATGGGCCACATGCTCATGTGTAAGAAAAAACAAGTTGATTTGGCAGTAACATGAGCAGTGTTACTGTGTATAAAGTTGTTTAAAAATCAAACCAGCTGAATCTACATTGGCTGCCAATCGAAGCAAGAGTTAATTTTAAGATATTACTTATAACTTAAAAGATCTTAAATGAGCAATCTACTAGTTACTTAGAACCTATTATACAAGAATACCACCCATCAAGAACACTGAGATCATCAACTCGCTTACAGTTACGCATCCCACCTATTAAATCCAATTCCTATGGTGGACGCGCTTTTTCAGTATCTGCACCGAAACTATGGAACTCAATTCCCGAATATATTAAAAGAGTGGAAACAGTAGAAACATTCAAAACTAGGCTTAAGACATTTTTGTTTAAAAAACATTACTGTTAATTACTTACTTATCTTATGTCTTAATAATCTGTTGCTAGGCGCATTGAGATTAGAGATGCGCCCTATAAGCATCTATTTATTATTATTATTATTAATAGTTCAAATCGTCGTCTAGCAATGACACTGGGATGTATTACTGAACAGACCCATAAAGCAAAAAAATGTTAATGGTAACCTCAAATATGCATCATTTCTCCAATGGATCATATTAATAACAACCAATCAAAATGTGCAAAGATTTCAGCTTTTTGTATACATATCAGTTGATTATCTTGCAATATAAATAAGCCAAGACCAGTGGTTACACATTTACAAGCTATTCATTAAATAATGTACCTTTTTCAAAGCATATTCAACTTCTGGAGTTTGATAAGCAGGGTTAATGTTTACCTACAAAGCACAAACAAAAATTCATTCAAAAGATGTTAAATAATGTAATGGTTCCAAGACCTAGCTTGCTTCATTTTCACTACCCAAGTTATACATGGTAAGTTTCTTCCAATTATTCACACCCACCAGTAGATCCAATCCCCCAATGTAAAGATAAACATTCCCAGTCAGTATAATATAAATGTTGATGTTGCATTACTGGTAGTTCAAATCTAACATCAATACAATATCGGTACCACTTGCAAGTCAATATCAATCTCCCCTGTGTATCCAAGAATTTGTGAATATCAATCTAGCTGGTATTTCCCTACACTTTGTATCAGTGCAGTATTAGCCAGTATTAGCCTCAGTGGACTTACCAATATCAATCCAGCCTTGGCTGTGGCAAATTGAGTAATGACCCATTCTCTCATGTTAGGGCCCCAAATTCCTACACGGTCACCTTTCTTGAATCCCATAGCAAGAAGTCCTGCGGCAAGGCGATCCACCTGCACAATGAATAATGTAACTGGTAATCAATAAATGTGACTCACGATCAAAAGATTCTTCTGGAAGGAACTAATATTAGAGGAAAAATGAAGTCAAACGATTATATAATTTTGTTTTAATTATTATGATTTCACAGGGAAAGTTTACTAGAGAGCAGAGAGCTTTGTTTTTAAGAAGTCAACCCAGCATTCAAGTTCTCCATACCGTTCCCTATACATTCCCTATGGTACTCACCAGGAGAAATTGTTTGACAATCAAGAGCTTTTTGAGTTTGCAATCATTTCCTTTATCCTCATGACCTTAATGTTTGATTCAGGAGTGATCTGGCTGGAAGAAACTAGATGTTTATCTCTTTTAGGGATTATCTTAGGGTAATTAACCCTTACCTCTCCCTGGAATTCAGCAAATGTGGCCCTTTTGTTGTCTTCACAGCAGACATAAGCTTCACGATCTGGGAATTTCTCTACTGTCTTGTCCAGTCTTTGTCCAATTGTTTCACCAATGAAAGGTTTTGAAGATATTCCTTGACAATAACTAAACTGGAGCTTCTCATGAGAACTGTTTGAGAAGTGAAGTAATATCATCATGTTGGTAACCAGGAAGGTTTTACTGATATCTCTTAGAAGTTTAACATTTTCACTACAGGGAAAAATTACAAAGGCTGGGCTGATTGGTAACCCTAGGGGCATAGAGTGGTACCCCCTCTTTTAACTCTCGCTCAGAAATTGCACTGGACAGGCTATGGTTCTTGCCCTGTGCTGTCTATTAAGACAAAAAGAAAACTTATATACCCTTTTCAAAAATAGAATAAAACCACAAGTTAAATCTTTGCTAATCTGAGTACCAGAGCATCTTTGTCCATTTTCTTTTAGTTTCCAGAAGCCTGACGCCAGAGGCAAGGGTAAACCAAGCATGGTTAGTAAGTGTGATTACGTGTAAAATTCTCCTGCCCTGTTGACTATGTCACTGCATCAAGACTCCATGGCCAAGATCCCAGACAACTGGCATGGCCTCAGATGCATGTGCCTTGGATGACTTGACTAGCCTAAGCCATGCTGGCTCAGTTCTTTAGTAGGTTGTAGTCTTAAGTCCTCTGGATTTTGTTCCAGCCTTTCCCCCCACCCCCTCTTTTTCACTGGGGGAATGAGAGATGGTTATAAAATTATTGTATCTCTGGATATCCCAACTGGAACTTGTCAGCCAAACATTGTAAGTGCTGCATGTAAATCAACCAGCCAAATTTCACGATTTCAATCAATTTCAATCTTATTTTGATAATTGTTGAAGTTTTTCGACGATGTTTCCATGAGTTTCTCTACTTAACAGCGGATCACCTGACATGTTCCAGACGTTGTGCTTACACCGTCTGTTGTTTACCGAAGAAAAGTAGTGGAGAAATCGTTATTCGCTTAAGAGAATCCCTGACATACTAACCTCCTCACAGATTTTCTTCCTTGTTCCTACCACAGAACAGGACAAATTCTTAGAGAGGAGATCAATCGATAACCTTTGAATTTTGAATGCGATTGGATCATGTCTCCTGGAATCATATAAGCGACGGACACGCGCAAGTTAGAGTTCCTCTCTCACCTTGTGGATGAGTAGCGAACCCTTCTGCAAAATCCACATGATACTGGCTTGGAGAATCTTTGCATCCACTGGAAATAAAACCGAAGATGATTGCATTTTGCTGCAGAGTTCAGTATTCCTGGCCCTCTGGTTGATATCGCCGCCATCATAACCGTAGAAAGCGAACAGCGAACAGAGTGGCAGAAAGGAAACTGGTGAGGAAAATTGCAAAGATTTCATAGGCAGGCATGGGCGTGCAAATAGTTATTATAACTGAAGTGACTTCAGTCAACCGCGCTTATTTGATGAACTAAGTGCAAGTCAAGCTGATGTCATGATAGAGTACTCGAGTGAAGAGGGAAAAAGTGAATATTTTAAAAACATGTTGAGTGATTTCTTGTTTTAGTTTGGTGAATGTAATATGGAGAGTTTCTGTTGTCTCTCTGCCATTCTGACAGCTTTGAAAAGAAGTAAGGAAGGCCATGACAGTAAAAATGCAACTTTCATCGATCTACGCCTAAGGCTTTACCTTTTCCAAGAGGTTTGTTTCTCTTCCAGTTGTGACACTTTGAATGGAACGCCTCCAATGGTGATTGATGTTCTTGCTCACCCTAAATTAAAGAGTTACGACTTACTGAGTGGGCCTAAAGAGAAGGTAAATTCAGCTTTTTCTTCACAACATACTAAGGGTGTACGTGTGACGGGTGGGGGGACTTGCGTTGGCTTACATCCACACTTCAAGCCGGCGAGAACGGTATGTGGGGGAAGGGAACGGGGCTTATGTCAATGAAACAGGAAAACGGTCTGCTTGAAAGATGAACTCTACTTTGTACATAGACTATACCTGGTTCTAAAATCAGGGGGCTTAAAGTGCTACTAACCCCAAACATTCTTTTACAATAAACAAAATTTTCTTGTTTTACTGATCATAACCTTTATTCAAACCCAAATTTGAGTGTAGCTACAAAAGCTAATGCCCTCGTGAAATAGAATGAAAATAAAAATTCTAATAAGAATATAAAGTTTACATGCCTATCAAATAATACATTAGTAAAATATAAAATACAATATTATACGATGCCATTTACAATAAGTATAAAAATTCATGCTTGTGATATTATATGTCAAAATTGACAAAGCTACGAATGGTGTAATTGTGTGGCGAAAATATAATTCAATTGTTAATTTTGTAAATTTGAGTGTAAATGGTACATATGTCAAATCAAAGTTCGACACAATTTTTGTAAATTTCATCAGAAACAGTAGATTTAAAGATGAACGCATACAGAAAGATAACTATTACACAGGTAACCAAGAATGTGATGTAAAAATTATATAGCGTCTTTATAGATTTAACTTGATTTGGTACGGCTAATCAAGAAACATTCAAGCTGCTGTCTTTCCAGACAGTCTCTATCCAATGGCTTCTAACTCAACGAAAGTGAATGTAGAGAGATCAGGGTCCGTTTTGCAAAGAAGCAGCAGCCTACTAAACACTGACCCTGTTGAAGTAAACGGCAAGCCCCTCGAAGTAGTTTCTAGTTCTAAAATCCTGGGGCTGAATATTAGTAATGATCTCAAATGTAACGGACACATCTCTGAATTAGTAAAGAAAAAAACTCTTCTCACCTTTATTGCTTAAAGCAACATAAGAGATCGAGAGTTGCTCCGAAAGAACTTATTCTATTTTACTGTACGTGTATCCGGTCCCTCCTGGAATATGCTTGTCCAGTTTTCAACCGTGCACTACCAGCTTATCTGGACGACGATTTGGAACGTCCACAAAGACGCGGGGAAAGACGGATCATTTACCCTACCTTGTCTTATGCTGAAGCCTTAAGCGCGTCAGGATTACCTACAATATCTAAAAGAAGAGAAGAAATCTCCTCGAAACTCTTCGTCGAGATCTCTATAAATGAGGGACACAAATTACATTCACTTTTTCCAGAAGTGAACACATCTACTTACAGCCTAAGAACCAAAGACCATATAAATTACCAAGATGTACGACTGAACATTGCAAGAACAGTTTTATACTGAGTCACGTTTTTAATAACTAGACATTTAATTGATTACATTCGTCTTTTTAATTACATATCATAATATAGGGTTCTTATAGTTTTCTTATTGTATTTACATATATTAGTGATTGTAAGCTAGACGTAACTCGGCCTACGGCTGCTATGTTTTTAGTCAATAAACTATCTATCTACCTATCTATCTACAATTCAGGTTTCAGCATTTTGTGTCAAAGACACGTCTCTTAAACGAAAGTGTCTCCAGTCCCCATGTTAGTTAGTGAGACCCGTTCTCTCACTGCAACCGGTCTCCATGTTAGTGAGAACCGTTCTCTCACTGCAACCGGTCTCCATGTTAGTTAGAACCGTTCTCTCACTGCAACCGGTCTCCATGTTAGTTAGAACCGTTCTCTCACTGCAACCGGTCTCCATGTTAGTTAGTGAGAACCGTTCTCTCACTGCAACCATTCCTGTATTCCTCCACAGTTCATCAATTCCAATAAAAAAGAAACCTTTGTCTTTTCTAGGTGTCATCTTGGTAATTAAATTCGCGAGATGCAATTTTCTTTATATTCAAGAAGAAAAGAATTTCAAGTTATTAGAGCGCATAACTTTTAAATCAAAAAGGCACTATTTAAAATTGTTTCATAAAACTAGATAGGATTGGCTAAATGAACTATCCTCTACGCATTTCGCTAGAGTTTCTGGGCATGTCCCATATAGTCCAGCCGCTACACATTGAAGATTCACCCTTTAAAATCTTTTCTTGCAGTCATCTCATCTCATCTCTTTTCTTGCAGGCTTCTTAATCTAAAGGTTCAGCTCTTCCTTGGTTTTCTCTCTCATGACAAACTTCCGAACCTGAGAAATACGAAATTTGAGTGACTAATTTGCCTGAGGAACACATTCTTAGTTACGAGTGTTTATTGCCACATCTGCAAAAAGGAGTTCCAAATAAAGGGGTGTCGTGTTCGATTCGGTCCTTAATCATCATATGTTACTCCTTTGCGTATTAAATTCCCTAAATAATTTACCTCTTCATGCACTTCCGTTTCAAAAGCCTGCACCCTTACCTTTCCCGTTACAGTGAGGGGAAATTCATCGACGAATTTGATATAACGAGGAATTTTAAAATGAGAAATCTGAAAAAGAAAAAAAGAGCAAGATATTAGAAATCTAGCATAATTGTTTGAGTTACTATGTAGTCATTTCCGATGTGAAATGCACTTTTCGACTGCACAGAGTCTTCTTCAAACGTTGAGGTCAACTGGATACGTCACCTCCTGAACTATGATGCTCAGCTGTGATTAGCTGGTATTCAAGAGCTGTGATTTGCTAGTATTCATCTGACAGCTGTGATTGGTACATTTCCAAGAGTTGTAACGAGAAAACAACATGAGAATGTTACCGCAACTGATCTCACTAAGAGGGTTGAACTAGTCAATAGACCTACCTGGCCTTTACAAAATTCTTTGATTTCTTCTGGTGTGGCTGTTTCACCTGCGTGCAACCTGAAAAGTATCATTATTCGTTCAGCCAAAGGTCATCCTAAACACCGAGAATTATATGAGAAATAATTTCAATGTTACCCACGCGTAACAACAAAAGACCGCTTTCATCAGTGACCAGTCAGAGAGCCAAATTGGTAAACGTGATCAGAGATCTGCGATAAAGAGAGAGTATTGGACTGCAATCTTGTCACTATGTTGAACATAAAAATTATCCTGTCTGTTGATCGATTCAGGGTCTCGCGTCCTTCCACTTCATGCATTTCTTTAATGGAGATGGACGACCCAAAGGCATTATTGTTGAGAACAATGCATTGTTAACAATAGTTACTGGAAGAAATATATTTCTTACTTGATCCAGGCACAGACTTCTTCTCCTAACCGAGGGTCCGGAACACCGATTACCTGAACGAAGACCCATAAAAAGGAAAGAATACTAATTTATTTAAATTCAAAGTGCGTAAAACGTTCTGTTCTAGTGGTGAGCACGCTGCACTTTGGATCGAGAAGTCTGGGTTCGACACCCGGCCGGATCATTGAGTTATGTTCTAAGTGAACACAACGCTTTGCTCTCACAGTGTCTCTGTTCGCCTAGAAGAGGAGAGGAGCACCTGATAAAATGCGGGAAGTAACCTCTTATGTACTAGCATCCCATCCAGGGGGGAGAAGACTTACTCCTAGTAGGGAGAAGGCATACTCCTATGTCTCGAGCATAGACAGCGGCAGTAATGGATTTTTTTGGGCTCTATCTAGCCAAGAATAATCTCCTCCACCAACAGCTTCAAACAACGTTCTGCTGGATGAAGTTCAAGGCCAGGCGAAAGGCACTGATCAAATTTCCAGCAATAATTATTATCTGGAAAAAGATAAGATTAGAATGACAAAAAAAGGTACTTTACCTGAACATCCTGTATTTTAGGATGTGCGTGCAAAAATTGTTCCACTTCTGTTGGATAAATATTTTCTCCTCCACGGAGAATAAGATCCTTTTGAAAAACCGAAGAATTAAAGTTATAAAACAAAATAAAAGTGATTACGATATGGTAATTTCATTCGGTAGGGATATCCTAAACTTGAAAATAAATTTTGTTTCGCCCGTTGTTTATAAGGCTACGATAAAAAATACCTTTATTCTTCCAATGACCTTTATGTATCCATTCTCGTCCATTGTGGCCAAATCCCTTTTAAAATCGGTAAGCGTGCATAGTGTCACCAACAGAGTCAAATTCGGAAAAAGTAAAGTAAATTATCAAACGTACAGGTGTGTGTATTCACAAAAAATTTTATGCAATACTTACCCACTGTGGAGCCAACCGCTTGGGTCAATGCAGGCGTCAGTCTTTTCCTTGTCATCCCAGTATCCCAGCATGACATTGTAACCTCGAAAGCAAATCTCTCCTATAGTGTTGACAGGCACCACACGGTCATCACTGTCCACAATTTTCACCTGCAACAGGTGTGTATTATTTAGCGATTTACAAAATCCTCGCCAAAGATGTCTTCTACATATCAACAAACACCTATCTCGACACTTACCTCATCATTTGGATGAACGCGTCCAACCGTAGAAATTCGCAAATTTATCGGGTCATTCATCAGCGTCTGTGTGGTGATAGGGCTTGTTTCAGTTAAGCCATAGCAGATCTAACAACAAAAAAAGGTTACCACTAGACATCACTGCATGGCTCTGTGTTTGACTGCTAAACTGACAAAATAACTGACTGATAGATCTACTGTCTGTCTAAATGTCCGGTTGACTGTCTGACGACTCACTTTCTGTCTGTGTATCCGTCTGACAGGTGCACTGATTGGTCGACTGCGTGACTAACTGGCTGGCTGATTAGGCTGACTAACTGACTGAATGATATGCCGACTGCCACAATCTGTCTGACTCCACATCTGACTGTCTGGTTAAGTGTGTTACTCTTTGTCAGTCGGTTTCTCTGTTTGACATATTGACTGACTGATAGACTGATTGACCAGCTAGCTGACTGACGCACCGTCTGTTTGTCTACCTGACAGATTCACTGACTAGTACTGAGATTGAGCAACGGACTGACCGACTTACTCTCTTTCTACCTGTCTGTCCAACTGACTGACTACTGTCTAACTGACGACAGCATGGTTGACTAATACACAGACTGGCTGAGTGATAACTATTCAATTCAATGAATTACCCACTGACCGACTGCTGCTGTCTAACTGAGTGACTGACGGACTGACTGGCTGTACGACTGACGATTGCATAACTGTCCGACTCACCGACTGGCTGAGTGATAACTATTCAATTCAATGAATTACCCACTGACCGACTGCTGCTGTCTAACTGAGTGACTGACGGACTGACTGGCTGTAAC